CCCCCAATCAAGCCGCTGCTGAAACTGACCAGCAATGGCTGAATCGGGGATGTCTGGGGCACAGCCAGAGTATCGGAAGGGAGAGCTATAAGGGGATTGGGGTGGCATCCCCCCCAACCTCACCCTAAACCCCTCATAGCCCCCCCCCTTCCGATAGTCCGGCATATCAGATAATCCGGCACCCCCTGGGTCCTAAAGGTGCCGGATTATCAGAAGTTTACTGTACTAGTCTATCCAATTTGGTAATGCACCTTGTTCATTACCACCTGAGCACTTTCCAAATTGTACAAAGACAAACTGGGTGAAGTAATGTCTTTTATTAGACTAATTTCTGTTGGTGACAGATAGTTAGAGCAGAGGTGGCTGAACTTTTTGGCCTGTGATTCAAAAAAAACTGTATCGAGGTCTAGGTAGAGGGCTACCTCCTATCCAACCCTCCCTTCCCACTCCTCACTTCCAGAGTATTCTCGGAGCTGTGTGGCCATGCAGTTGGCTAATAAACCAGGGTTGCAGTGCACAAAGCTACCATGGCTCGGGGAGAGACCCCTCTCTGCTGGCAGCTCCCTGCTGGGGCCAGAGGAATGTGCCTTTGTCCCAGCTGTAGCTAGGATTACCATGTAGCTTCAGAAACAATACTGGACACACTTGATGGGGGATGGGGGGAGAACCGGAGCTGTGTGGCCATGCAGTTGGCTAATAAACCAGGGTTGCAGTGCACAAAGCTACCATGGCTCGGGGAGAGACCCCTCTCTGCTGGCAGCTCCCTGCTGGGGCCAGAGGAATGTGCCTTTGTCCCAGCTGTAGCTAGGATTACCATGTAGCTTCAGAAACAATACTGGACACACTTGATGGGGGATGGGGGGAGAACGGATTTGCCAGGATGGGAGCAGGGTTGGCGGGGGGATGGGAAGCAGGGCTGGTTCGGGGGGGAGGGTGGAATGTGGGGGGGATACGGCTCCACAACGCGTTTAAACAGCGCTCAGGAGCACAGACAGGGCTTCTTCTCCTGCCCAAGGCGTCACTCCTACGTCAGACACAACCAGAGGCTCCCAGCACTGATCGTGCCCCACCTCCCAGCCACTCCCCCCAGGCTTCCGTCAGGCACCCAGCTGGAAAACCGGAAAATACCGGACACTGCACATGTCCAGTATTTTCTGATTTTTTTTTTAAACCAGTCAGAGGGTCCAAAAAACAGACTGTCCGGCTGAATACCAGACAGCTGGCAACCCTAGCTGTAGCAGCCCTGCAGGGTTTGGAGTAGAGTCACACTCCTCTGGTCCCTGCAGGAAGGTGCCACAGAAGGGGAAGAGACCTGTTTCTCTGGTCATAGCAGTAGGACAGGATTAAAAAAGGGGCTTCAGGAGTTGCAGGCTGGGGCCAGTCCTTGCTGGTGGGATGGGAAGGCAGCTCCACATGTTCCACCTCCCCCACCTCTAGAATCGCATCACTGGAAAGCTTTGACCTCCACCACCAGGACCCTACCACCTCATCTAACTCCCTCCGCCCCCAACCTCTTTGCTCCTCACCGTACCACCTAGTCAGAGCTGCAACCATGCCACCCAGAGCATTGGGGCTGGCAGCATGGTGAGCGGAGGCTGCAGGGCAGGGTGGACGGAGGGAAGGCTGGAAACTTTGGGGCTCGACAGAAGGGTTTATGGATTATAAACAGAAAACTGAAGAGCAAGTTTGACTAATTTTTTGTTGAAGATTCAGTTTAACAAAAATATGTGAACTCAACACAGCAGTTAAACAAATGTAGTGGAAGTTAATTCAAGAACAGATGCTAGAAAAGGCAAATCAGTATCTTACTATGCAAGTTCTGGATATTGAATTTACAGACTTAATGGGCTAATATTTGCACTGTTATATAGTGTATGCTTTTCCAGCATTCTGCTAAACTGTACATATTTGTACAGATAGCATGATCACAAATGTGTTGTATGCCACAGACAGAAAAGTACACACACCTTATAGTTAAGCACATTAAGATCTCATATGTTAGCTTTCTGAATTAAAAGTGCATACCAGTGATAATTTTTTCCTTTACCTGTAAAGGGATCTGACAATTCAGTGCCTGTATTCCCTAGCATTTGTCCTTTGGTGTTGTCTATAATAAACTTGGCCACCTGATCCAGAAACATGGGATTTAGATCATTCTTCTGCAGGAAATTGTATGCAGTCAGCCATGGATCATCATTGATGTTATATGGCAATTTGTAGGAAGGCCCATTTTCATTCACATCAATAGTGAAAACATAATCATATTCCTTCAAGTGAAAATAAAAAAAAATGGAAATAAATAAAAAATGCGATCACAACTTTCGATCCACAAATACATCAAATCTGCGTTGTAAAAACAGTACGGAAAGTGACACTAGACTAAGGTTTCTGGCAGTATGGAAAGTGACACTAGACTAAGGTTTCTGGTTTTGATAACTTTGTAAAATATCGTATTCTACCATGTTAGCTGTGAGAATATTTAAACAATTTCAAAAAATACTGGAAACAGTTAAAGGAATATGGGCTAGATGAGGAAATGCTATTATTTTACTGTGAACGGAAGCTATGGTTTCCTGTAGGCTACGTCTAAACTACACCCTTCTGTCACCAGAGGAATGTAAATTAAGCAGTTCTAAAGTGCAAATGAAGCGGGGATTTAAATATCCCGTGCTTCATTTGCATAATCATGTCATGGCGCTGTTTCAAACAAGCGCAATTTTGAAACTGAAACCGCAGTTTAGACGCAGTTTTTTCGACAATGGGGTGCCTTTTCGAAAGATCCTGTAATATTTTAAAGAAGCCTCATTGATGGCACAGGAACAAACCATTTCGATGCACAATAAGAAAAGCAAATATGGTAGGTGACCAGCTTTGCTTAGCAGTGAAATCCTTAGCGAGTTAAACACAAAAAGGAAGCTTACAAGAAGTGGAAACTTGGACAGATGACTAGGGAGGAGTATAAACATATTGCTCGAGCATCCAGGGGTGTAATCAGGAAGGGATGTGAAGGGTAACAAGAAAGGTTTCTACAGGCATATCAGAAATAAAAGGGTGGTCAGGGAAGGTGCGGGACCCTTACTGGATGAAGCAAGTAACTTTAGTGACGGATGATGTGGGAAAAGCTGAAGTGCTCGAGGCTTTTTTTTCGTCTCAAGGTCAGCTCCCAGACTACTGGACTAGGCAATGCAGTATGGGGAGGAGGTGAACAGCCCTTGGTGGAAAAAGAACAGGTTAAGAACCATTTAGAAAACTTGGACATAAAATCCATGGGACCAGAGCTAATGCATTCAAGGATACTGAGGGAGTTGGCAGAGGTCATTGCAGAGCCATTGGCCATTATCTTTAAAAACTCTTGGAGGTCGGGGAGGTCCCAGCCAATTGGGAAAAAAAGGCAAATGTAGTGTCCATCTTTAAAAAAAGGGAAAAAGGACACTCTAGGGAACTACTGACTAGTCAGCCTCACCTCAGTCTCTGGAAAAATCAGAGGGGATCCTCAAGGAATCCATTCTGAAGCACTTGGAAGTGTATGTCTACACTGCAGCGTTTTTCCAAAATAACGGCCGTTATTCCAAAAAACAATATTTGCGTCCACACTGTTGTGTTCTTTCAACAAGAAGCCAAAAGAACAGAGGGGTTTTTCCGATGGCAGTAAACATCTTTCTATGAGGAAGAAGCCTTTTTCCAAAAAGCTTTTTTTTGGAAAAAGATGTGTGTGGATGCAGAAGAGGGAGTTCTTTAAAAAAAAACGGAAAAAAAAGAGGCCTCAAGGAAATAACACAGGTGCCCTAGTGGTCACGCCGTCCAAACTAATCAGAACTCTATAGTTCCCGTCTCCAGCCAGCTCTAAAAGCTGCAGGCACCTAGGACAAACCTTGTCAGGAAGCCAGCCCTGGGAGTTGCACTTCACTGCACAGCTCCCCCAGTCACACAAACTGGGATCCATGGCGCAACCACAAGACCCTCCTGGCCCTCACAGGGAGCATGATCAGGGCTCCCAGGATCCAGCCAAGGGCCAGAAGAGGCCTGTAATATTTTAAAGAAGCCTCATTGATGGAACAGGAACAAACCATCTCAATGCACAATAAGAAAAGCAAATATGGTAGGTGACCAGCTTTGCTTAGCAGTGAAATCCTTAGTGAGTTAAACACAAAAAGGAAGCTTACAAGAAGTGGAAACTTGGACAGATGACTAGGGAGGAGTATAAACATATTGCTCGAGCATCCAGGGGTGTAATCAGGAAGGGATGTGAAGGGTAACAAGAAAGGTTTCTACAGGCATATCAGAAATAAAAGGGTGGTCAGGGAAGGTGCGGGACCCTTACTGGATGAAGCAAGTAACTTTAGTGACGGATGATGTGGGAAAAGCTGAAGTGCTCGAGGCTTTTTTTTGTCTCAAGGTCAGCTCCCAGACTACTGGACTAGGCAATGCAGTATGGGGAGGAGGTGAACAGCCCTTGGTGGAAAAAGAACAGTTTAAGAACCATTTAGAAAACTTGGACATAAAATCCATGGGACCAGAGCTAATGCATTCAAGGATACTGAGGGAGTTGGCAGAGGTCATTGCAGAGCCATTGGCCATTATCTTTAAAAACTCTTGGAGATCAGGGGAGGTCCCAGCCAATTGGGAAAAAAAGGCAAATGTAGTGTCCATCTTTAAAAAAAGGGAAAAAGGACACTCTAGGGAACTACTGACTAGTCAGCCTCACCTCAGTCTCTGGAAAAATCAGAGGGGATCCTCAAGGAATCCATTCTGAAGCACTTGGAAGGGTATGTCTACACTGCAGCGTTTTTCCAGAATAACAGCCGTTATTCCAGAAAAAACAATATTTGCGTCCACACTGTTGTTGTGTTCTTTCAACAAGAAGCCAAAAGAACAAAGGGGTTTTTCCGATGGCAGTAAACATCTTTCTATGAGAAAGAAGCCTTTTTCCAAAAAAGCTTTTTTTTGGAAAAAGATGTGTGTGGATGCAGAAGAGGGAGTTCTATCGGAAAAAAAAGAGGCCTCAAGGAAATAACACAGGTGCCCTAGTGGTCACGCCGTCCAAACTAATCAGAACTCTATAGTTCCCGTCTCCAGCCAGCTCTAAAAGCTGCAGGCACCTAGGACAAACCTTGTCAGGAAGCCAGCCCTGGGAGTTGCACTTCACTGCACAGCTCCCCCAGTCACACAAACTGGGATCCATGGCGCAACCACAAGACCCTCCTGGCCCTCACAGGGAGCATGATCAGGGCTCCCAGGATCCAGCCAAGGGCCAGAAGAAGCGTGCACCATCATGATTAGGAACTATTTAGAAAAGCTAAACGTACACAAATCCATGGGTCCGGACTTAAAGCATCCGAAGGTATTGAGGGAGTTGGCAAATGTCATTTAGGTGCCTTTGGCCATTATCTTTGAAAAATCATGGAGATCAGGAGAGATCCCGGATGATTGGAAAAAGGCAAGTGTAGTGCACATCGTCAAAAAAAAGGGAAGAAGTACGATCCAGGGAACTATAGGCCGATCAGTCTTATCTCGGTTCCTGGAAAAATCATGGAAGGAATCCTTACGGAATCTATTTTGAGGCACTTGAAGGAGAGGAAAGTGATTAGGAATAGTCAGCATGGATTCACAAAGGGAAAGTCATGCCTGACCAATCTGATTAGCTTCTATGATGAGGTAACTGGCTCTGTGGACACGGGAAAGTCAGTGGATGTGCTATACCTTGACTTTAGCAAGGCTTTTCATACGGTCTCCCACAATATTCTTGCCAGCAAGTTAAGGGATTGTGGATTGGATAAATGGACAGTAAGATGGATAGAAAGCTGGCTAGAAGACTGGGCCCAGTGGGTAGTGATCAATGGCTCAATGTCAGGATGGCGATCGGTTTCTAGCGGAGTGCCCCAACTTTTGGTTCTAGGACTGGTTTTGTTCAATATCTTTATTAATGACCTGGATGAGGGGATGGATTGTACCCTCAGCAAGTTTGCAGATGACACTAAGCTAGGGGGAGAAGTAGATACGCCTGAGGGCAGAGATAAGGTCCAGAGTGACTTAGACAAATTGGAGGATTGGGCCACAAGAAATCTGATTAGGTTCAACAAGGATAAGTGCAGAGTCTTGCACTTGGGACAGAAGAATCCCAAGCATTGTTATAGGCTGGGGACCAGAACAGGCTGAGATCACCTTGGGAATGTTGTGCTCCCCCGCATCAAGGTCTGTTAGTAGGCACCTGAACCGTGCCCTGGAGCCCGAAGAAGCATTGTACCTGGATACAGGCCCTGCTTAGGCAGGCATTGAATTGGTCCCAGCTATGGTCCAGGTGGCCGGTGTACATCTTCATCAGCCACAGCATGAAGGGATAGGCCGTATCGCCCCATGATGCATCTGCACTTCCCCAACCCAAAAATCACGTTGGGGGAAGAATGTGCCAGCCACCAGCTTGTGGTAGAGGCTGGAATTTTTGAAAACGTAGGCGTCATGCACCCTTCCTGACCACCCGATGAAAATATACATGAACTGTCCAGAGTGGTCAACCAGGGCCTGCAGCACCATAAAGAAATAGCCCTTACGGATGATGTATTGGGTGGCCCGATAGTGTGGTGCTATGGGAATATGGGTTCCATCGATGGCTCTCCCACAGTTGGGGAAGCCATGGGCGGCAAATCCAGCCACGATGGGGTCTAGATCTCCCATCCCCATCTCCTTTTTCCTAGGGTCCCCCCCTTTCCAGTCCCCCTCCCTGCAGGGACTGCAGGCTGAGAGTGCCTTGCCTCCATGAGGAGGGCCTCAAGGGTGGACTTTCCCATGCCAAACTGGTTGCCCACAGACTGGTAACTGTCTGGGGAGGCAAGCTTTCAGATGGCAATGGTGACCCGCTTCTCCAGAGGGATGGCGGGTAGCATCTGGGTGTTCCGTTGATGGAGAGCAGGGGTGAGCCAGGCACACAGCTCCATAAATGTGGTCTTCCTCATCTGGAAGTTTCGGAGCCACTGCTTGTCATCCCACCGCTGCATGACCAGCAGGTCTCACCAGTCAGAACTGGTGTCCAGCCTCCAGAACCTTCTCTCCACTATGAGGTGCAGTTGGAAGGGTCTCACTCCTGCACACAGGATGAAGGTCTCAAAGATGAGCTCAGTGTTGAGCTCCTGCAGGGGGTCTCAAAGATGAGCTCAGTGTCGAGCTCCTGCAGGACCATGAAGGCGGTCTGCAGAAACTGCATCATGGCTGTGTGGGATCATCGCATGCCCCGAGGCAGCTCTGGCTCCATGGCAAGGAGTATGCTGTGGTATCCAAAAGCTGGGCAACCAGAGTACGCACTGCAAAAGCTTTGCTGTCCCTCGGCAAGGCAGGTAAGCAAGCAGCAAAAGCTGAGAAACAGCTGTCCGGGAGGGTCCCTTTAAGCACGTCTCAGCTAGCCTTAGGCAACAGCACCTGGAAGCAATTGCTGACCCAATACCCTGCTTGAACTGGTTTCGGGTGGCCTTAAATGCGAGATATAGTGTCCACACTGGAGGCTCTCTTTCAAAAAAAGCACATAGTTTTTCGTTGTGCTTCTGACATCTGGATGCTCTTTTTCAAAATAAGCTCCGAAAGAAACTTGCAGTCTAGACATAGCCGAAGAAAAGAAAGTGATCAGGAATAGTCAAAATGGACTCACCAAGGGCAAGTCATGCGTGACCAACGTGATTGCCATCTATGACAAGGTACCTGGCTCTGTGGACATGGGGAAGTCAGTGGATGTGATATACCTTGACTTGAACAAAGCTTTTCTGTGATCTCCCACATTATTCTTTCCAGAAATTTAAGGAAGTATGCATTGGATAAATGGACTATAAGGTGGATAGAAAGCTGCCTAGGTTATCAGACTCAACAGGTAGTGATCAATGGCTCAATTTCTGGTTGGTGGGACTCTGTGCTTGAAGCTGACCAAGTATCGGTTCTAGGGCCGGTTTTGTTCAACACCTTTATTAATGGCTTGGACTGTACCCTCAGCAAGTTTGTGGATGACACTAAGCTAGGGGGAAAGGTAGATATGTTAGAGAGTAGGGAATAAGGTCCAGAGTGACCTAGACAAATGGGAGGATTGTGCCAAAAGAAATCTGATAAGATTCAACAAGGACAAGTGCAGAGTCCTGCCCTTGGGACAGAAGAATCCCAAGCACTGTTACAGGCTGGGGACTGACTGGCTAAGGAGTAGTTCAGCAGAAAAGGACTTGGGGATTACAGTGGATGCGAAGCTGGACAGGAGTCAACAATGTGCCGTTGTAGCCAAGAAGGCTAATGGTATATTAGGGAGCATTAGAAGGTGCATTTCCAGCAGATCTAGAGAAATTATTATTCCCCTTTATTCAGCACTGATGAGAACACACCTAGAGTACTGCATCCAGTTCTCCCCCACCCCACTATAGAAAGGTCCATTGGAGGGGGTCGAATGGAGAGTAACCACAATTATTAGGAGGCTAAAGCACATGACCTATGAGGAGAGGTTTAGGGATTTGGGTTTGTTTAGTCTGTAGAAGAGTGAGGGGGTTTGATAGTAGGCTTTAGCTACATGAAGGGAGGTTCCAAAGAGGATTGAGGGAGGCTGTTCTCAGTAACGACAGATGACAGACGAGGAGCAATGGTCTCAGGTTGCAGTGGGGGAGATGTAGGTTGGATGTTAGCAAAAAGTATTTCACTACGAGGGTGTTGAAGCACTGGAATGGCTTACTAAGGGAAGTGGTAGAACCTAAAAATCTCTAGAGATTGAGTCTTGGCTTGACAAAGCCCTGGATGGGATGATTTAGTTGGGGTTGGTCCTGCTTTGGGGCAGGGGGTTGGACTCGATTACCTCCTGAGGTCTCTTCCAGCCCTAGGATTCTATGAAAATGTGGTGTTGCATGTATGTAGCATGACAAACCAGTGACCATTTTAGACATACATCAGCTCCCAATGAAGTCAACAGAAGTTACAAGTACAGGCAATCGCAGCGCAGAGAGAGCCTAACAAATACAGAAGCTACTTTGCTAGCATTTCCACGGTCATTTCTGCAACATGAAGTGAAGTGGGGAGAGATGACAGGTGATAGCTATACTTGCCTCAAGTTGCCTCCTCTGTCCCCAGAGGCTAAATGTTGGCCATCGGGGCTAATCTGCATGACACGCACACCTGCTTTCACATCTAGATGGCCTGCATTCTCATTTCGGTCAGGCACAATGGCCGAATCTTGCAAATGCTGATTGTTGTTGTCCACATACACCACCTTCAGCAAGTTCTTTATATTGGGAGGAGAAAGAAAGAACGATTGAAGTAAATACCAGAACAAACAATGGAAACTTGCTACAGTCCTTGGGAGTGAAATGTGACTTTGGTAGACCCCCCCCACCCCACACACACACAGCAGACCAGGCTTTTCTTGCCGACGCCTGGGGTAGAGCAGCTGGAGCGCTGCCGGGTTGGTCCCCGCAGCGCCGCACCTCAGCACTGCGGGGACCAACCCGGCAGCGCTCCAGCTGCTCTACCCCAGGCGTCGGCAAGAAAAGCCTGGTCTGCTGTGTGTGTGTGGGGGGTGGGGGGGTGAGGGCGCGCACTAGCTGCGCTCCTCCCCTCACCCCCCCCACCCCACACACACACAGCAGACCAGGCTTTTCTTGCCGACGCCTGGGGTAGAGCAGCTGGAGCGCTGCCGGGTTGGTCCCCGCAGCGCCGCACCTCAGCACTGCGGGGACCAACCCGACAGCACCCCACCTGCTCTGCCTCGGGCTTCCTGTAGTCAGCCGCTGGTCAGTTTCAGCAGCGGCTGAATCTGGACGCCAGTTCCGACTTACATACCAATTCAACTTAAGAACAAACCTACAGTCCCTATCTTGTACGTAACCTGGGAACTGGCTGTACTGAAAAGCAGGCCATAGGATAATCAAAATCTTATAAAACATTAGCAATAAGCAATAATTAATAATAACTCAATCTTGAATAAATTAAACCGACTGTCTAGAGTTACACAATTTTTCACATCAGCTAGTTGGCCCCAGGAAATGCGTTTCAGAAATATTACAGTAATATAGTAGGTCAGGACAGAATCTAACATTTCTACTTCTGAATAAGAGATAGGCCTGAGATCGATAATGAAGCAATGGAAGTACCTAATTAATTAAAAAGTTTACAGGCAACCCTCACCATTTGCGGTGGAAGCATTCTTGGTACTATCCTAAATGGCAAAATTCACAAATACGAGGAGCCACAGTGTCCCCTTCCCTACAGGAGACCGCCCTCCTCTCCCCCATCAATACAGAGAACCATGAATAGCAAATCTGAAAATCACTAAGGCCTCCTGTATTTCATACAAAAAGCCCCACATTATCATTTGAGACATGAATATGATGACTGAAGAACACTTTACATACCTTTCCTTCATATAAAACCCTTCCAGATGTTTGCTGTGTAGCTCCAGATGAGCCAACCACTTCACCAATCTTGATCCATCTCTCTTCACTAACACTCCACTGATAGGCTTCAACATTCCTGTCATCTTTAATTAGTCGTGTCTGTCCCTCTCTTGTTCCTAGAAATAAAAAAATTGCATAGCTAGAGAGAAATAAGGTAGTAAAGCAGCTTCGAATGAGAAATAAAAACCATGACCAAGTAACTAAGCCTATGAATTTGGCTCAGATTTTTGCCTCCTGACTGGAAAAAAAAAAAATCTTTTTCTGCTTAATCTGGATAGCTTTTATCACTGCATAATTTTATTTCACTAGGTACTATTCTTTTCATATAAGGATCCTCATTTTGAATTAAATACATTAAAGAATAAATGTAATGCAATTAAGACATCAGTTCTATTTCAACATTCATAGTTTGAAAACGTTAAGTTTGTTATGAAGCTATTTTTTTCTTTAAGGAAAACAAAATCATATAATGTAGTCCCTTACTGAATCACAATGCTTAACTACTGCACTATTATAAAGCAGGCTCATCATAAATGTAACGTATTCCATTTCCATGAATGATACATGAACTAAATCCTCAGAAACAAAAAGTTTATTAGAGGCATAGGAATGCCTCCATAATACCATGGACATAGATAAAAAATTAATTGTATTGCTACATAACACAAACTCAGCTGTGGGTGAGAGGGAGTAGGTAAGATCAAAGGGGAACAAGTCTCAGATGAAAAAACTAAAGACTGCTGGCAGTTTTTCCAGACACTATAAAGGGCACAAAAGCAAAACTATTCTACTGCATAGGAAAAATAGAAGTAAGTCAAAAGCCACCCTATCTTAACCAGGACATCTTCAATGATCATAAACAAACAAACAAAAAAAACCAAAAAACTAAAAGGAGTCCCACAAAAAGTGAACTCGATTTAATTACAAAGGATGAATATAAACAAATGAAACAAGTATGGAGGGGCAATATTAGAAAGGTTACGGTACAAAACGTGATCAAAGTAGCTAGAGATATAAAGGTTAAAACACATTCTACTAATATATTAGAAGCAAGAGGAGGCCCATTACTCAATGGGAAGGGAAAAAATAATGAAGTATGGAAATGGCAGAGGTGCTTCATGATTGTGTTTCGATTTTCACCAAGAAGGTTGGTGGTGACTGCACACCTACAATAATGAATGCCAGTGAAAATCAGGTAGGTTCAGAAGCTAAAATAAGGAAAGAACAAAGTTAAAAATTAGACAGTCATGTTAGATGTTTTCAAGAGATTTCTAAGCCATTAGCTATTATCTTTGAAAAGTCATGGACTACAGAGGAAAGGTTCCAGAAGACTGGAAAAGGGGCAAATATAGTGCCAGTCAATAAATAAAAAAATAAAAAAATAAAAAAAGAAATAAGGACAATCCCGGGAATTACAGACCAGCCATCTTAACTTCTGTGCTAGGAAAGATAATGGAGCAAATAATTTAAAAGAGTCCATCTCCAAACATCTGGAAGATAATAAGGTGCTAGGTAACCATCAGCATGAATTTGTAAAGGACAAATTATGTCAGAGCAACCTGGGGGAGGGATAGCTCAGTGGTTTGAGCATTGGCCTGCTAAACCCAGAGTTGTGAGTTCAATCCTTGAGCAGGGCCATTTAGGGATCTGGGGCAAAAATCTGTCAGGGATGGTACTTGGTCCCGCCGTGAGGGCAGGAGACTGGACATGATGACCTCTGAGGGTCCCTTCTAGCTCTATGAGATATAATATATGGAGATATATCTAACAAGCCTTGTAGATAAAGGGAAGCAGTAGATGTAGTATATTTAGATTTTAATAAGGCTTTTGATTCAGTCTTGTATGATCTTCTCATTAACAAGCTAGGAGAATACAACCTAGATTGGGCTACTATAAGGTAGATGCATAGCCGGTTGGATAACCATTCCCAGGGAATAGGTATCAACATGGTTCAAAGTCATGCTGAAAGGGCATAATGAGTTGGATTCCTCAGGATCAGTTCTGGGTCTGGTTCTGTTCAATATCTTAATTATTCAGACCATGACAGAGAATACTCTTATAAATTTTGCAGATGAAGCCAAGCTGGGAGGGATGGTAAGTGCTTTTGAGAAAAAGATTATAAATCAGATTTATCTAGACAAACTGGCTATATGGTCTTATATAAAAAGAATTATATTCAATCAAGACAAATACAAAGTACTCCACTTAGGAAGAAACAATTAGCTGCACATGTACAAAATGGGAAACGACTGCCTAGGAAGGAGTACTGTGAAAAGGGATCTAGGTGTCATAGTGGATCACAAGATGAATATAATTCAACAGTCTAGCACTGTCGCAAAAAAGCAAACATTCTGGGATATATTAAGCAAGCAAGTAGTAATTCTTCTGCTCTACTCTGCACTGATTAGGCCTCAATTAGAACACCGTGTCTAATTCTGGACGTCACATTTCAGGAAAAATGTGGACAAACTGGAGAAGGTCCAGAGAAGAGCAACAACGATTAAAGGTCTAGAAAACATGACCTGGGAGGAAATATTGAAAGAACTGGGTTTGTTTCATCTGCAAAAGAGAAGACCAAGAGGGGACATGAGAGCAGCTTTCAAGTACGTAAAGGGCTGTTAATAAGAAGGAAGGAGAAAAATTATTCTACTTAACATCTGAAAACTGGGCAAGAAGCAATGGTCTTAAATTGCAGCAAAGTAGGTTCATATTGGAACAACTCCTGAAAAGATGGATAAACATTGGAATAAATTGCATAAGGAGGTTGTGGAATCTGTATCACTGGAGATTTTTAAGAGCAGGTTAGACAAACACCTGTGAGGGATAGCTTAGATGGTGTTTAGTTGTGCCATGAGTGAAGGAGACTAGATTTGATGACCTCTTGAAATTCCTTCCAATACTATTATTCTATGATTTAACACAATTTAAGTAATCAACAAAAGGTTTTCCATTCCCCAGAGAGATGAAGCTCCTAATGCTATAAAAAAAACCAAACAAGCGATGTTTATTATTGTTTGCTTTTAATGCAATAGAAAATGAATTTACCAGGTTCTTTCAGATGTTCTCTTCCAGGAAGATCATCAACATTAATGTCTCCCAAATCACTAGTTTTTGGGTCAATAGTTGCTTGGGAAAGTTCATTTTCAAAAGCTTGAATTTCCTCTGCACTTGCTGTGCGTTCCAAAGATTCTGTAAATACTCTGATAATCCCATCACTGAATACAGAAGAAATGCAACATATTTAAAGATTCAAACTCCATCACATTACAATTCCTGGTATGGAATAAAGTTAATTTTTAATGGGCTAAAACCCTGTATCAGCTATACAAAACATTCAGTTCACGTTGGCATTCTATTACAAAGAAAGAAGGATACAAAGACTAGAGGTGACAACGAGGGAGAATACTCCTATAAAATGACTTTGGTACAGAACAACTGCTAATCTATTCCTAATACTGAACTTTGAAAACTGTTCACATTTCTAAGGCACCATCTCTTCTGAAGTCCTCAGAATAGTAAAAAAAAATTAGTAATATGAAGGAAACATAAAACCTCCTCCAAAATGAGAAATGTTACTTGTTCTCTCTATACTCCAGAGCCAGGCACTTCTCTCACACTCAACGATGCATTTAATTGGCTTGACAATGTGTTTTGCAAATATAGTTGATTATATACGTAAAGTCGGGATACCTTGCACCAACCACGATATCACCATTGTTTAACACACAGCAACTCCAAACCGACTGAGCTGGAAGTCTGATTATCTGAGCACATTCCCCTTGTTTCCAGATCCTAAGTGTTCTGTCTTCTCCAGTGGTAACAAAATCTGGAGAGAGAAACATATAGAAAACTAACATAAAACCCAACAAAGGCACAAAGTAGCTTCCTGCTGCTAAATACTTTACAATGAAATACTTCTTATATCTCCTTAAAGAGGTTTACAGGGAAAGAAGGGTGAAATAGTCACTACTCATCTTTTTTTCCTTAAAAAAGTGCTCAAGTGTTTAAATTAGTGCCCAGCTTTACTAGGCAGAAAAGGATTACGTTCCAAACAGCACAGTACCAGTTTCCTTCACAGGGCTGTATTAACCAAGCTTAAAAAAATCAAAACCATCTCACCACTATCAGGACACTATCTTCCCCAGGTCTACCGAAGAGGCAGAAGACCTCATAGGCTATGCATTTTTGAGCACATAACTAGGAAAAACACGTGACTTGCTATTATAGTCCTTGTACCCTTTAAAACTGTAACAAGTGCACTGAGACATATACATGCACCCCCGAGGGCAATGATCTGTTACAGTGCTTTTGGAGCTTTACTTCTCACCAAGAGTACAAACATATTCTGTACATCAACCAGAGAATCAATTTCTTCTGTGACCTTGGGCAAATCACAGTCCCAAGCCTGTTTTTACATCTAACTTTCAGATATAGCATAAAGATTACATCGTTAACATTTGAGGCAACTTCTACAGAAGAATCTGAAAGCATATCGGAATATTAATATCAAAACATTAAATACTGTTTCGAAGACTGTTGCTATAAGCTGTGCTTTTTTTGTGTGTGCTTTCAGATTCTTCTGTAGAAGTTATCGGAATATTAATATCAACACATTAAATACTGTTTCGAAGACTATTGCTATAAGCTGTGCTTTTTTTGTGTGATGGCACTGCCACTCAGTACCGGCACCTCCAGACGGAACTCAACTTTTCCCCTGGAGTAACAAGCCTTGTAGATAAGGGTGTTTGTTTTTTTAACACAAAAAAGCACTGGCTATAAGTATCATTTTTACACTGTGCTCTAGCATGGATATGCAAATGGCAACCTGAATTGAAATCCTGGGCTCTGCCATTGACTTCACTGTCCAGGATTTCACTCTATTACTACAACCTTTTTTTTTTTACACACACACACACACACACACACACACACACACACACACACACACACACACACACTTCCAAATAAAGTTGTAAAATGTATATTAATTTTATATCAATAAATATGTCAATTTTTTGCAATTGCATGAATAATTATATCTTTATGCAAAATCTCAAACTTATAAGTATCTGAAATTTTCACAGAAGCCTGTTATTCGATTAACCATGGTCTATACTTGTTTTTATTTCAACCAAACAAGTTATGTATCATATACAAAATTTAAAAAGTACCTTAAATTTATATTTAAATTAAAAATTATGTAAGATTAATTTTAAAAGTATTTAATATCAAATTATTACAATATTATGCATTATGTTTTAGCTATTTTATAACAACTACAACTTTCTGTCAAAGTACTTTGGTGGCACTAGGGGCCTTTGTCCCGACACCTAAAATGCTGCTTTCTCCCTTCTCCCCCACCCTTGACAAATTTTTTTGGTAACACCATCTAGGTGGCCCTGAAAGCTATCAATTTTTGTTTGTGCCCTCAGTAGGCTTCAAATTTGACATGCCTGTCCTACACAATATGCAATCAATTGGTAAATATTATTAGAATGACCAAGTCTTGCTTGGCCCATTTTATAGCAATCGATGGGAGAGAATGGGCAGGATTGACCCACGGTTCCTGTTCCACCTAACTAAAAGTAAATAGGCCCTTCATACCAGCAACCTAGTGAATGGTGTTCCACTGCGTGGGAAGAATAGGAACCATGACCTCCTGCCTGGTATTGTAGGTAGCATACGGGTGAAGTGTAAATGAATTACGCTTTATTACTGTATTATAGTAGATCTTCTATTCATTGCTTTTGCATTGTATTAATTGCTTTAGAATTTATAGTATTTAAGGTTTAAATTGTATATAGTAACTGTATTAACTGCTTCGAGCTTACAATAAATAAGAAAGTAGTTAAGTATCCGTGGAGTGTCCTGGTTTCCTTTGGATCTAAAATAAATCGAACCAAACGACAGCGGTGTGGTGAGCAGCTATGTGGTGAGAACCTATGTGGTGAGCAGACGTGATGGTGACCAGCAATGCAACTTTCATGGAGAGGTATGAAAAAGTACAAGAAGCGAAGGACTGGAAAGGTGGTCTGGTTAAGGCTCGCAGCACCAAATCGAGGTCCCACAAAGGTACTGGGTGTGTTATATCCAGATGGGGGAGGTGCAGACCTTTAAGGAACCTCTTGATTGTAGGGTACATATAAACAGACCATCCCTCAATTTTCTGGTGGAAGGCTGTAATAGCCTCTAGGTGTACCTTGATGGAACTGAACGAAAATGATGATTGCTTAAGAGAGTGAGGAGGTAGTACAGGATAAAAGATAGCAGCACTGATATCGGCTCTTGCCCTTTCGAGGTGCACCTTTCTAAGAAGCGCTTCCACTTATATGTGTAGGAGGCGCATGTGGAATTCTTACAGCTGTGGATGAAGATTGCTCAACTTGCTCCTAAAGCCCTAGTTTGGAATAGGAGAGCCACAAGGGAGACATGCTATTAGATACAGCTTGAATAGGCCTGGGTAGGTTTCTGTTGTCTGATCCAGAGTGATGAGATTGCGAGGCTGATGCACAGATGAAGCTGTGTGCAGTGTATAATAAAAACTAGTTTGTTTGTAGGGACTAGACTGCAAACTGTGACTTTACTATGGGAACCCCACAGGCTCCAGTAAAGGCATTGTGCAGGATGTGGCACTGGTGGAGTAGTACTGGCAGTGGCTTGTAGTACTGCACTGGAGGACTATGGTGTCGGGACGAAGCCGGTAAGCCTCTCTCCATCACTGCAGAACTGCGATGGTACTGGGGGCACTACCTGAGTCGTCGTGGGTCTAGGATATACGTCGGTGCCAAAGAGCAGGTGGGTGCCATCAGACACATTGACACTGCTGATGGTAATGGCAATGCTGTGGATTTCAGTGCCACTGAGTTAGTTGGTACCAATGGTGTGGACAACAGCACTGATGCAGTAGTTGGTACTACCACTACCGGCGATTACCGGTGCCGCTTTAGGATGTTGTTTGGACTCTTTGGGGTCAATACCGGCAGCAGCCGATGGTGCTGCAGTGCGTGATCATATGTACCGATGTGTGACCTCTGTGCTTACAGTCTGGTGGGGGACTGTTTCTTAGACAAGGGTTCCCAATGAAGCACTGAGGAACTTTTCCCCTTTGGCACCTTTTTGCCTTGATGGGAACCTGGGGGAGATTGTATCTCCCTAGGTTGTGATCCCGTGTCCGAGGCAGGGTGCGTATTTTTCTTAAGCAGAATTAGCATTAACCAGAGGTCCCTGTCCTTGCAAGCCCTGGCCCTTAAGTCTGGCACAGTGAGGGCAGTCCTGAGGTGAACAATGCTCTCCCATACATTTGACACATTGTCAATGACAATCAGAAATCAGCATTGCCTCTCTGTAGTTCAAAGACTAGAGAACCCAGGCATGATTAAAAAAACCAACCAACCAAACCCCACACTCTCTCAACAACTATCAACTAACAACAAGAACTAAGAGTTTTACATAGTTTATTTCAGAAGTGTGAAGAAAGCAGACAACTAACTATGTAAAACTATTTCAGAAGTGTGAAGAAAGCAGACAACTGCAGAGCTCCATCTCAGGCTGAGGGTGGTTGAGAAGGAACTGGAGGGCTTGGACAGCGCAGGGACTGCTTCAAAATTTCCGATCTAGGTGCCAGGACAGCACCAAAACCAAAGATGGAGCATCCATGGGGACATCTCTCAAGGAAGAATTTCTGAGAATTCTGGACCCAGATATTAAAGAACATTTCTCCTGCAGTGACATGTTCACTGTTCAAATTATCAGAAAAGTATAGAAAAGAGAATGCCGGTGAAAAAATTCAGATTATATAATGGTACCAGAACTGCCATTCATTTTGAAAAGCTCCTTTGCTAATTTTACTCTGAAAATAGTCTTACCTTTATCATGAGGGAAAACAGATATGCTGTATATATAATTTGTATGTCCATAATAAATCTGAAGACACTCGCCCAAGATCTGCCACCTTCGAATACTGGCATCATTAGCACAGGAAAGAAATTCTGAGTCACTTAAAATCGCTAAACCTCTCACACAATCTTCGTGTCCTTTATAAAAGAAATGGTTTACAAACAATCAAATATTGTTTCCAGCAGCAGCTTAACATGTCAATATCTTATTTTGCAATCTCATTACTTTGTCAAGAGCCCCCCAATGCTTTAAGAAAATTGACTCATAAATATGCATAAAGGAGGCTTTAGGCAAAATGTGTCATTTAACATTTTTAAAGTTACTATCTGTTGAATTCGTAAATTATACTAGAAGATTTACCCACCATTGCTTGGGTCCTTAACTTTAAAAAAAATTAAGCAAAATGAAAACTAATTTAAATCATTGCTCTGGGGTGGGGCTGAAAATGAGAGGTTTAGTATGCAGCAAGGATGTAAAATCCCCTTTAATTAATCAGTTAAATGTTAAGTTTAAACAATTAAGTGATTAAATGAAGGCAAGGTGGGGGGAACCCTGCCACCACAGTTGGGCTGGAGTGGCCCCCACAGCACAGGCTGTTCCCGGGTACCCATTCACATCCTTAGTATGCAGGCTGCCCTGGAGAGAGATGACTACCCCAGCCCTCTCTCACTGCAGCAGCTTGGGGCCAGGTGAGAAGCGTTTCTCCAAGGCCTCTGCAGCTCGAGCAGGCACAGCTCGGGGAGAGATGCATGTCCAGGTTCATCTGCCCCCCTGTGCTTCCCCACCAGAGTGAGGGAAAAAAAGCAAACTCTACACTTTCCCCTGGCTCCCTGACAAACACCAGAGTGAGGGGAAAAAAGCAAACGCTACACTTTCCCCTGGCTCCCTGACAAAGGGAAAAAAGCCAGCAACATCCACTGTACAAATCAGGGGCACAAGGAAGCTTCAGCTAAGGTGCATTCCCTAAGGGGCACCATAGGAAGAGGAGGCTTGGTGATGGGACAGTCATGGACTGGGGGAAGGAAGGATGCCCCTAGGCAGCCTCTTTCACCTGCCTGGTGATTCTCTCTTTTCTGTATATTATAAGAAGCAATCCCATTCCAGGCACATCTTACTGTCCTGGAACAACCAAACCTCTAAAGCAAGGAAGCTGCATACCAAATTTGGTGGGCCTACCTCTTAGGCTATGTCTACACTGGCAGCTTCTTGCACAAAAAAGGCCGTTTTTGCCTGCTGTCTACACCGCACTTGCATTCTTGCGCAAGTAAATTTACAGTATAGCTGCTGTCTACACTGCACTTGCATTCTTGCGCAAGTAAATTTACAGTATAGCATTGTAAAATAGGGTTTCTTCTGGAAGAGTTATTCCTCTCCCCACGAGGAATAAGCCCTCTTGCACAAGAGCTCTTCCACAAGAGGACAGTGTAGACAGGCAACATGAATTTCTTGTGCAAGAAGCCCCTATGCCATGGATGCTCTTGCGCAAATGGCCAGTGTAGATGAGTTCTTGTGGAAGACTTTGCGCAAGAACTCTTCCTTAGAACAGTTCTTGTGCAAGAAGCTGCCAGTGTAGACATAGCCTTATTGTTTACGAGAAGTTCTTGAACAAACAGAAGGATGGACAAATGGATTCGATCGCTCACTGATAAACTCTTTCAAATATATAGTAGATTGTGTAGGAGCTGTGTCTCACAAACTTGGTGGGTCCTGTGCTTTCAGGCAGGTTTGCTTGCCTCAGCAGCTGACAGCACCCCTCACCTGAGGCGTGAGTTCACTGTTTGTTGGGATCTTTTCATCATTGGCCAGCATATGATATAAAAGGGAGGGATAAACTTGACAGTCTTTTCTCTGAGTGGAAATGCAGAAGTGGGTGTTGAAGGAAACCCAGGCCCACCCTTTATTCCAGGTTGCAGCCTAGGGCCCTGTAATAACAACCGCCTATGTGAGTCCCCAAGACCTGCTCCAAGACCCTGAGCTAGTTCCCCACACCTTCCTTTTTCTCCAGTTCATCCTTCAAGTCCACTTGCTGTCTATTTTCCTCCTACTCTCAGCAGCGCTTTCCACCATCCTCCAAGCTACACCCCTTCCCCCCACTCCATCCAACAACTGCAGGCAAGCTCCTTTTATAGCCAGTCTCAACTGGTCTCCCTAATTAACCCCAAGCATCATCAGCCCAGACTTGCCTGACTCTGCAGGACTGATCAATTAGCCGCAGGTGTTCAACTGCCCCTGACTGCTTCTGCTGGTTCTAGACCAGTCTCTCCTTGTTAGACTGAAGAGACCTGTTTCCAGGATGAGGTTGGGGTGGGCTAGACAGCCTCTGCAGACCAGATCTCTGGGTAAAATATTTATAGAGCAAGATGGATTTATTTGGAGTTTTGGTCCTTTTTGGCACTGTATTCCTGGGTGCCATCGACAGCCTTAAAGCTGAGCCCTCCCAGAGCTGAACTGGTTCAGTGTCTGTGTGGCTCTGCTGGGGGACAGTTACCCCAACTCTGTGCCTTGACTACGGGAAGCCAGAGCTTCTGGCCCAGCAGGACAGGATGGTGGTGCACCCCAAACGGCAGGCTGGCAAGCTCAATGGCTCGATCAGCATGTTAGGTGACAGTCTCAAGGGGACCCCTGTGATTCAACTGTCATCTTTATTCTAGAAATTGGTGTTCACTAAAGATCTAGCTTTAAAAAACACACCTCCTTTACTTAGCATATTCTGAAAAAAATCAGGCCTCTAAGGTGTCCCAAGTGGGCTACCTAAAAAAAATAAAAATAAAAATCACTAGCCACCCTTTTGAAAATCTTTGTCTACATATTCAAGTTACTCGCATCCATGAAATTTTCACAAACAGGAAGTTGACTTTTAAGCAGCATGTAAATGAGATGTCAGGTTAGAAAATACTCTCCATTTTACCCAGATATTTACCAGTGAACGTTCTCTCGCATCTTCCTGCTTTCCATAGTTTAATAGTTTTGTCAGCTGAACCAGTCAACATTAATCCCTGTTCAGGCAATATTTTTACTGCCCATACTGCGGCTGTGTGACCCTGTGAACAGGAACAGAATTAGACTAGGTAGAGAATTTACAATGCTATTCAATTATTCATTATTTGATATACTCATGAATAACTACCATACCTGTAATGTCATCATGCATTTGTCATTCAACCAGACTTTAGCTGTAGTGTCCCATGAGCCACTAAGCAACGTGCCAAATTTCCCAGATGAAAGGCTGCAAACTGGAACAAACATTCAAATCAGCATTGACACATTCCCAATCACTGCCCCTTTCTTATTCCAGTAACATACGGAAAGAGATTTTTCTCAAATTAGCGGCACACATTGAAGGAAAGTAATTTTTTTTAAAGTTGTTTCCAGAGCAAACTTTTGGTCCTTTCCTTTTCTGCTTTGGAAAGGGAGTTTAACATCGCTGCAGTCACAATGCTAATTAGAATTAAATTCTTCAAGGGATATCTGACACCTAGCACCACTGGAAACAGCTGGCAAACAGTTCACTGTTGTGTAACAGCAATTCCAGCAGGTTTGATTGACTATATCTAATACACAATTTTATGGTCTTTATCCATACATGTAGTCATGTAAGAGCGTAAATGAAAGCAAGCATCACGCTGATCATTAATGTCATCTACTATATATCTGAGAGAGTTTGTGCATCCGTTTGTTGTCAGTCCATGATTCCATTTATTTAAGAATACAACAGAGAGAACTAGAACCCCCCAAATGTGGTATGCTGTTTCCTCTCATAACTTACAGAAAAGTTCAGGGTTTGGTTGTGCCAGGACAATGAAAGTTTTTAAATTGGCTCCCCCTGCAAGCTAGCTCCCGCCTGGCACCACGAGCTGCTGTTGGTCCTGCCCCCAAGAACTACAGAATAGTCGACTAAAGGCTAGCTCCCGCCTGGCACCACAAGCTGCTGCTGGGCCTGCCCCCAAGAACTACAGAATAGTCGACTAAATGATAAGAATTCATGAGGTTACTCGACTATTCAATTAACCGATATTTAACATCCCTTGTAAGCAGCACTTTGGCATATCAGTTTACATTTAATACAGTACTATAGGTGGTTTTTTCGGGGGTGGTGAGGAGGGGTGGAGAATGGGTCTCTGTTGCTGCCTCATTGTGTAGTTCTGATCCCAAATGAGGAGTGTAGTTAACTTGTCAGTTCATAACTCTGAGATTCTGCTCTGCATCTTAAATATTGATTTTTTATAATAAATAAATGACTTTTCACCATAACTAGATTCAAGCTGATGTGTCTACTGTACCTTTGGAAACAGCATACCTGCTATTACCATGCGTGGATAAGGAGCTGAACACAACACTCCAAAGGATCTTGGTTATACCATCCAAACCTCCAAGGCAACATAAGGATTGTTATAGCCCAGAGACTGACTGGGTAGCCAATGCGCTGGAGGTTTCAGGAAGCTGATAGCCAATTAAGCACAAGCAAGTCTCTCCCCCATTACAGGCATGGGAGATAATGAAGGCTCACAGTGTAGATCTACATGGCAGCAAACCAGGCCTAGCTGGCATTGCAAGGCAGTGGTCTCCGAAAAGTCTGTGATTAAATTGTATAGCTCCCCAGCTGAAACACAGGAAACTGAATTAGTTGACACTCCCTCATGCCTGTGGATGGCCTCTGTCTACACTGCAAAATATGTCCAGGGTTTGAACTGAGTGTCAAAAATCCAACTGCCCTTCCACAAATCACACCAAGCCAGGGCTTGGACTCAGGGATCAAGATATGTTGCACTGCAATGTAGACCTAGCCCAATTTGACTAATGCTCTGAGATTGTCAAAAATTTTCCACAATACAAGGGCCAACTTTGTTTGTCCCCCGGACTGTCAAATTTGGAGCAGAGAGCATGTTTTATTTAGCAACTGCTTGTAAAGTCCCAAATGGGGCCCTAATTTAGTATTGAGGCTCCTGTGTGGGGAGGACCTTCCTTGTCTAGCACACTCGGGACCTGACCCGTTGCGAATAAGGGAATTTGCTGGTTCGGGGAGGTCTCCTGCCACTTGTCTCCGAGGATGCTCCCCCTCCCTACGGCTGGCTCTGCTCTAGCCCCACTGCCACTGGGCTCCAGCTTGCAGGGCTTACACTTGACTCAACCCACTGGGGTTTCCTAGGGATGGAGGTCCCCAGCCACCATGCCTGGTTTCTCCCCGCCTGCTCGGGTATCCCTGGGTATGGGGCTTGCTGGCTGTCCCGTTTTTGCCACTGGCTACTTTGCTGATGCCCCACTCAGCCAAGGCTCCCAAGTGACGGGGCTTGCAGTCCAGAGCCCTAGATTTCCGAGGTTCAACTTGTATTAACACACATATACAATTATACATTATGATAGTTATGCCTTGCTCTGCTGAAAACAAAAAGAGTTACTGGATTATATAAAACCTGATAATAGCTAGATTTAGAAATAATTCACCATGACAAAATAGTAAAGAATTCTAAGTCTTAGAAAAACAAGATTTTATTTTAACCAAATTAAAAACAAGTTGCATTAGTTCCAGCTTTCACAAGGGGAATTACAAAACAAGACCTATACTCACCAGTGTTTTTGTGACCTTTAAGGACATAGAGTGGAGTTGTGTTGTCCAGTGTGAAGATACAAATATTATGGTCATTACCACCTGTGGCAATTAGCCCACGAGGATAGTTCTCATTTGAAGGTATGACACACACACAAGATACAAAATTGGAGTGGCCACTCATACAGTGCATTTCGGTGAATCCCCTATTGAGACTAAACAGATACATAGGCCAATTAACTCACATTACAGAATCATAAGAGAAAACAGGTCTACATTAATATGAACTTTATATTTAAACTCTTGGACTGATGATTTTCAAAGATAACTAGATAAACAATAGGTTGAAAGAGGAAAAAAGAAAAAAGAAAAGAAGCCTTAAAAATAGTTTAACTTTTGCAAAATGGCAATCAATATTTAAACACAAACATTTATTTACTAATAACCCTAAGTAATCAAGAAGTAAAGCCCTATATTACTACACCTAAGATCGAAGGATTTTTCTGGTAAAAAATATTTTACTGAATCTAACAAACATTTTAAAAAATTTGAAACAAGTGTCTGCACAAGCAGGAAATGAAAAAGCTAAGTTAAATAGATATAGCAATTGAGAGGAATAATACTAAATTCTGAAATAAAGTTATCTTGATAATCATATTTCTTAAAATCTTACTGATTGACACTTAGCACTAACAAACATTTATGTTCCCCCCAAAAATCAACAGATTTCTGCTTCCATTCTGTTTCTTTGCTTCTTTTACTACTATTTCATACTTTCAGGCATGTTGCAACTAGGTTATTACTACTTTCCATTTTTTTATGTTT